TGCATCTCAGTGTATCCTCTACCTGCAGTGGTAGTTATTGGATCTGGACTTTCTTTCAAAGGGCTTGTTTTAGATCCCACCTGTGAATGGACTGTTCTTTCAGGGCTAAGCTATGTAGATCATCTGCTGTGGAAACACACACACACACACACACACACACACACACACACACACACACACATACAAACACATCCAGATGGTCTCTGGAGAACAGAGACATCCCATGCATCCAGTTACAACATGAAAGCAGCAGGGACACAACATAAGGACTGATGCATCCACCCATCCCCTCCACCCTCGCCTAAGATGGTGTTGAGGATACTATTGCTGATCATGTGCGCACTGTCTGTAAGAATAGAGGCTTCATTGGGGAGCCACTCAGCTGACTCAAATATCAGATTCAGCTTCTCTAGTGATCTAAGGATGGTGAACACAACTTAAAAATACATAGATAACAGTATCTTAAGGTATATTTTAGTGTCTTTGATTTAACTGTCTTTCAACTCACTCATCAACCGTATGTCCAAAATCAAACAGCATGACAAACAGTGTTTTTGCACATTGGGGTTACATTTGTCTGCTGGACTCTAAATGAATGCAAACTCTGTTAAATAGACTGTCACATGCTCCCCGTGTCATCCAAATATACAAACCTATCACCCTATGAAAGCTGGCATAGGCTGGCCCACCCAATTCCTTGGATACAGTAGGTGAAAGAAAATAATAAAAAATAATAAAAACAACCTACTTTCCCTGCCAAGAAGTGAAACATCTATGTCCCTCTACTCGAAGTAGTTTTTAATATATTTTAATACATTACTGAAGGATATGTAAACCACTCTTTTGTAATCTGTAGAAAACTGCCTACCAATCCTGCAAACAGATGAAACATCTCATTTTGTCTGTGTTTAAAAGGTCAAAGAAATTCTTGCCACTAACTCTGTTGTGTGTCTGTGCGTGCTTTCTGCAGGAGTTGCGTTACCAGAGAAGCAAGTTTTGATGCTAAAATGGGAGGGAGTGTGACTTTTGTTTGGCGATTTTGTTTCCAGGCAACATGCATTGAAGAAAGCCAGAGAAAAGAAAAGAATACTCCAAATGAAAGTGATAGAGAGTTGTGATTGGATAACACCTTTGACTGATGAACTTTTGACTGTGATGGAAAGTCATTTTTGTCTTTGTAACAATGCTTCCATAAGAAAGACAATGTTCTTCCTGTTTCCTTACACACCTCTGCTGAGCCACCTCAGATAAAATCACCACGGGTAAAATGAGAAAAAAAAGAGCCCGTTTTCATTTCTGGGAGAAAAAAAAGAAATCATGATGAATTTACACTTGCTCAGGCTTATCTTTACAGGCGGATTCTTTGCATAAATGTGTTGTCTCATTTCCTGATTCACATCTAGTTGTGTCTTATCGGGATGCCTTTTTTTTTTCAAGAGGGATGATTCATATCACAGGGCCCCATAAAGGCCACTGACAGGTTTATATAAGCAGGCACGGAGAAGTGATGTAGATTTTATGGTAACCACAGAAAAAGCAGATCTTTTGCTTTACTATGAAGTGAATGGAACTGTCTGATGCAAACAATACATTTTGGGTAACAGATTAGACTCTCAATGACATTCATAAGCAGTTGCATCAACAAAATTTAATGACAACACATTTGAGACTTTGAATGTGACACGGTTGTTGGTGCCAAACGGGCTGATCTAATTTACCGGGATATTCCCACAATTTACCAGGACATTCCCATCTCTAGGTTTTTACAGAGAAAACTACTTGGTGAGTTTTCTGAGTGAAAATCTCTTGTTGATGCCAAAGGTCAGAGGAGAATGGTCAGACTGCTTAAAGTTGATAGGAAGGCAACGGTAACTCAAATATATTATGTTACAGCCAAGGTATGCAGACGAAAATCTCTAAAGGCACAACACGTCTGACCGTGAAGTAGTTGGACTGCAGCAGCAGACAACCACACTGGGTGGCAACCCCATCGACCAAGAACAGGAAACTGAGGCTAAAGTTCACCAAAAGGTGCCAACAGAAGATTAAAAAAAACAAAACATGAAAGCATGGATTAGAGGTGGGAATCACCATACATCCCACGATACGATATTATCACAATACTTAACGCACGATATTATTGCAATTTTTTAAAAATATTTTGCGATATTCAGATTCTGTACATAAAGGTAAACTTTATTAATATTCATTTTATCTAATATCAAAGTCTCACACTCAGTCTTTCTCTCATTTCAGTTTTATTGTTGACAAACTGAAGGGTTTGTATTACAGTCCAGTCCAACTTAACTGAATGCAACCATCTGGTACAATTATAGCTATTCTGAACTATGAAATTTATGAAAACTATGCAGCCCCTTCAGCAACTGAAGAATTTGAAAGTAAATTAAAACAAAATATAATTTTACATTAAATAAAAAACTTTTAAACTTAATTAAAATAAAACATGTCTTAAAATAAAATAAGTAAACGGTCATGTTTATTTCTGCCAAAAAAAAGTTAAACACATTTGGACAGTGAAGGAATGTCAGGATTCTTGCTCAGAAAAAGGATCAACATGCTCTGAAGTCAGAGCACAAAAACCTTTTTTGTAACAAAATATCGATTTCTGCTGTCCCTGTATCGATACATTATTAGCAAACAAAATATCACGATACTACACAGTATCGATTTTTTCCCCCACCCCTAGCATGGATCCACTCTGTCTTGTATCAACGGCTCAGGCTCCTGCTGGTGATGTAACGATGTAGAGGATATTTCCTTGGCACACTTTGGACCCCTTAATACAAAATGAGCATCATCTAAACACTACCTGATTATTGCTGCTAACCATGTCCATCTGTTTATGACCACTGAGTACTATTCTCATAAAGCTCAAATCATTTCAACATGGAAATGAGTTCACTGTAGTCAAATAGCCTAAACAGTCACCAAATCTCAATCCAATACAGCATTCTTGGGATGCAAAATCTCTGAGGAATGTTTCCAGCAGCTTCTTAAATCTATAATGTGAAAGAATTTGGGCGGTTCTGAAGGCAAAAGAGGGTACTGGCAAAGTGTACCTAATGAAATGTCAAGCACAGTCATCAGTAGCATTATACACCTTTCCTCTGAAAACCTTATTTTTTTCAACCACTTAGCTATTCTTTGTCTATTGAGATACAAATAAACATCAGTAAAAGAAATGACATAAAATATGCACAGATATGATGATCCTTATTCTACGCAAAGAAAGAAAAGTAAGTAAATACTCAGAGCACAAACAGACACTTTGGGCATCAAACCCATTTTTATTTGAATTTAATGCAGTTTAATCGAACACAGTGCACATGCAAAGTATCATATTTAAATATCCTGTATGTTTGTACCAAGTGTCATGTTTTGAAAGTTAAATATTTTAACATTTAGGTAATAAATTAACAAAATCGAAACATTACTAAAAACACTGCCCACAATGAGTATACACATTTTAATAAAGCATAAAATACATGATAAATTCATAAATATGCAATGTTCATACCTGTACCTTTTTCTGAAAATATTTTCTTAAAAACACAAATTCAGTTTAAGACACCAAAAAGGGAAGAAAAAAAATCACAACTGGACAAATTTCTTTATGTCTTTACCATAAGAAAAAGAGTACTTTGCTCACTTAAAGGTAGTATGTGTAGGATTTTCACTGCCTAATAGAATAACATGTGCTACAACATACAGTCACTGAGCTCCTTCACTGCCTCTGTTGCTTCCGAATATTCAGCTACCAGTCTGCTAATTAAGAAGCAAAAGTGACTTAGTCTTGGACTTAATACAAAATCATCAACAGTACTACACCTTCAATAACTCAATACTACACATAGCACCTTTAAATGTATTTTCTGCTGTTCAGATCATCAAAAAATACAGTAAGAGACTGTCAAACAGTGCACGAACCCTTAACAAAAGAAAACAAAAAAACAATCACAGTTGAAGAAGCAATTACAGCATAGCCATGGGGGCAGGGTACAGCTATAAAAGTACTGATGAATGAAGTATTTTGTGACAGGGAACCACTGGGTTCCCACGTTACTGATCTGTTTTTGAGAATTTCAACACCTTAGGGTCAAGCAAACGGACACAAAACACCTTTGTTGTGTGCCTGAGTGATGGAGGTAGAAATGCTGGGCAAATGGATGAAAATCCAGCATAGGCAAGAATGAAATACTCAGTCATTTGCTTACCATAAATATGAGTTTTCCTGTATATTAAATACAAGTAGCATATGGCTTACCTGTAGCACAGTCTGCAACCTCACTCTAAACTGTCAAAAATGTGTTTAGATTTGTCGCAGAGGGGCAGGTTAGGCTTGTTGCACTGGTAGACCTAAAGGGACAGTTAACGGACGAAACGTGCTTATTTGCTTTTTTGACACTGTGGCGCCGACACAATGAAGTTGAGCTGCAGCCAGCAGTTATCAGCAAGCCAAAGCTAACTGAGTGTCTACACAGAGAGCACAATGCAACCAGTACATCTAGTAGAGAAGCAGAAGCAGCAAATGCTCCGTCTTTGTGGCATTCAGGTACACTGTTTGAAGGTGCTGGAGCCAAAGACATAATGACTGTAGTTAAAAACTGAGCAAAAACAACTTGAATAACGTAAATGCATAATGTTCTCTCAGATGTGACAAGTAAAAAAAAAAAAGATGGCTGAAATGTTTTTTTGTGAAAACAGCAAAACTCAACTCAAGTCTGGACACGATATCCTGTTCGTTACACAGAAGTGTGAAGAAAACATTTCACAGTTTAGAAGAGAATCTGTTCTCATATTCTGACGTCTCGTGTTCGCTGCTCCGTAGTATAGTGATTACTATATTTTGCATTAAATGCAAAAAAAGATCTGTGTGTGTGTGTGTGGTGGTCCCAGGCCTGGACTATTGGGAGCATTGTGTCAGGGTTTTCCTCTGTTTCTAGTCTTTATCCCTGTAACTGCCCAGACAGGTCATCAGTCTGCAATTAATTTCCGCCAAAAAAAAAGGTCTAATAACCACATTCCTCCAAAACTGTGAAACTTTTCCTATAAGTCTCCAAGAATAATGTTAGTCACCAGTGTTGAATCAGTAAAAAAAGACCTCAGAGATTGCCTTTACACTCAAAAGATGTGTGTTTAACACAGAAACACACAGCTGTTTCTAACTAAATAAGATTACACAAAAGCTGATTAAAAAAAAAAAAACCAATGGGGAAAAAAAATCCTAAGTACAAAATTAACAGCAGGCCTGATAACACAGAATACGTAATACATTTTGACTCCACAGGCTAAACAAAACTAAAATAACTCAAATACAGGCTGAAGCTGGCCGAACCAGCTGAACCTGAAGTGCTACCACTCTGTTTGTGCTTCTTTTGGCAACCGAATTCTCTGCACCAATCAATCACATTAGCGGACATCTGACACGATCCTTCCCACTTTGCAGCTGCTATTCACCCGCATGGACGGTACTTTTATTTTCAGTCAGTGAGTCATAATGCTGCTGCAAATCCTCAGCAATGTTCACCAAATACTCTTAACAACTAGAAGGGAAAGTGTTAGGAAATAATCACCTGATAATACTTGCCTGAAACAAACAAACAAACAAATCTATTTCAGCCTAAAGAGAAGTCACTGTGCAGCTCTTCACTTTTGACAGGCACGTTAAAAGTTACAGACTGGCCTTAAAGTTAAAATGGCTTTTACGTTGAGCCAAATCAGAAGCAAACACTGGTAAAACACATTTCTAAAAATATTTTTTCTTCCAGCCTTGAATCCTCATGGCTAACACATTTCATGAGTTATTTCTAGACACAAGTGTGATACTTCTATTATACTCCACCATACTAGATGAGAACAAGACAATGGAAAACTGTGAGCACCATTGGAAATCCTTCACCGAGGTTCTCCAGTAAACCAAACAACAAGTGCTGAGATCCACTTTGACCTTAAAAACAACAACAACAAAGGGCTGTACGATTGTCATATGAGAGAAAGGGGACTGCAGAAGTGTTGAGTAACTTCTGAAAGCTAACAGCAATTTATGATGTTAGAACATATAATACACTGTCTGGCCAAAACAAGTCACATCTGAATTTAACTAAGGAAACACATAAAAGCCTATTACTGCAGTAATGAATATGTTTTTGCTAACAGATTATCCAACACTAACCAATGCAGTTCTCAAGCAACCATGTTTGAAGATATTCTGCGGTTGTGGAAAAGCCATTAGTCCATTTCAGAACGGTCAAATTATTGGCCTACATGGTGAAACTACTAAAACAGATCAACAGCAGAAATCAAGGATATGTTTAACAGTGAAGGTAAATATTTCTAAGTGCACACTGAGAGCTCAATGGAAGCTACGTTGCTTTAAGAAAACGTGGCTTAAATGAGGTTTATATTTGCTAGGCAGCATAAAGATCAGACTCTGGAGCAATGGAAAAAGGTCATCAGATTGATGGGAATATTTGGGGAAGAACAGGCGGGTGAAATGCCTACCACACAACATCCTGTGGGATCAGCGTTATGACCTGAAGTTGCTTCAGTTGGTCAGGTTTAGGTTCGAGAACATTACGTGCCTCAAGAAAAAGGTCAGCTGACAACCTGAAGCTACTGAAGTCAATTAACTTCCATTTTATTTATATATTGCGAAATCACAACATTGGTGGCCTCGAGTTGCTTGAGGTAAGGTAAGGTAAAGAGCCTAAAATAATACAGAGGGCAAGCACTTGGCCACTTGGAAGGAAAAACTCATTTTATTTAACAGGAAGAAACCTCGAGCATGGGTGAGGCGCTGAATTACTAGGTTTTTCCCAATAATGGGAATGGGAAGTTCGAGAGGTACGGCAGACTGGAGAGCGCTTTATCCACACTGAGAATCTTTGCTGAAGAAGGTTTTATACAGCAGTCTGACTCTCCCATCATCAATGATGAAACCTTTGGAAAATCCTAATAGAACTCTGGATGGAAATAAATGCTGGGGTATTCCCTAACCTTACAGAAACAAGCCCACGGCAAGTGCACGTTGTCATCAATGCAAAATACTGAAATTTGTCTTGGTCAGGCAGCATACAGCAGTCTTGTTAGGGGTACAATGTGTAACACTAATAAGTAATCTCATGGTTTTCCAAAGGTGCTTTCCACATTTTTCCAAAGTGTCCCGGTATCACGCTCACAAAAGTAAATGCATTTGAGAGAGAAAATATGAACCTATTGAGCAAATGTTTCAAGCAGTCTGAGCAAACTCTACAATCGCACATCGAGGAACGATCCATGGTCGACGAAGGACAAAGAAGCTCAACAAATTATATTTATGGCTTTAGGATTATGCATATTTTTCTAAGCTATTTGGGTGGAAGTTACTCCCCAAATGTTTGCGTCAGTGTGTGGAATAAAATAAAACCTTTGATTTTTTAAATCTGCGCGGGTGACGGAATTTCAGGTGGCTCCATGACACACTTATAGGGATATGCCCAAAAGTTATGCTCTTCTCTCTGCTGGATTTCTTAGTATGTAGAGGAGAAGAGCCTCACAAACATAGACATAAACCAAGTGAATAAGAAGCATAAGGTTTCAAAATAAATTAATGTTGAACTTTTGATTGTCAGCTGTTCTTGGTGCTTGAAAAGCGTTAAAAAAAATGCTAGACTGATTGTTCATATTAACCTAGAGTATTTATTCATATGCGCACCTGGCTGCTAAAGCTAAAAGTGCTCTTCTTTCAGAGAGGTGCTGATTTTGGACAATGTTGTCTGTAATGCTAGTAGTAGTATTATTTTCTCCACCCAAACTACAGAGATAAGTACAGAAATGTGGCTGTATATAATATAGGATTTACTGTTATATTACACTGCATTACTTTAAGCTTGTTGTCACTATCTGTACTCAGTCATTGCATTTCTGAAGTTAAAAAAAACATTTCTGCAGGTGCACCATAAGGATTTCAGCTCTATTAATGGTTGTTTCAAATGTAGTTCTCTTATTATTATTACTGTACTAACGTTAATATAATGAAATGTGTCTTTGAAGGTGAATTTTTTAAGACAGTATTGGCTTTGCTTCGGTTTTTGTACATCTATATATGTACTTTTTGTTAACAAAACTACAAGGTGGGTGGTTCTCTTCCTCACATATTAAATAATGAATGATGTACCAGCCCTTTTTGAGTGAAGAAAAACACTAACATTTTATAGTATTAGTGATAACTTTCTTGCCTAGTTAGTGAAGCTGCAAGTGATTTTGAAATGTGAAAATATAGTAACAGACATGCTGGTCATCATCACATTCAGAGATCCACTCTGAATATAATCAAAGATTGGACTATTTGGACCTGAGATTTTAAGAAGCTGCTGTTGAGAATCACTTTGTGAGTTCAGAGGTGCGTCTCATTTTCTGATACTTATGAATATTAATTTTGATGTAGTAAACCAAGTACCTACTTGTGTAGGGTGTGACATTTGACAGGGTACTGTCATTTCAACTTGAACATGGCAAGCTGTTCACTCAGAGAACTACTATAGTAGCAGGTAGCTCGAACTGTCGCAATAGCTGCAGCATTACAAGTTACAAATCACTGACCTAAAACTAGTTTTGCCTACACTAAAACAACCCAAGCTACAAATGCAGATCCACTGCCTAAAACAAAAAAACAGGTTGCTTTTTGCTAAATAGTGCGCAGCAACTATTTAGCCTGCTCCTACTGGTGGAAAATTGTTCACCGGCTCCTCCCTTTCCACTTCAACCATTAAGGGTCCAGTCATACAAGTCAAGAGACTGGTTGGCAGGAGCCTGGCAACCACTGGTCACTCCAGCAACCACTGATTGTTAAGGTTTCTATAGGCTGCTCACAAGAGACCAGTCAGTGGCTTGTTGGTAATAATTGGTCACTAGGGAAAAATGGGTATTTCTTAATCAGTAGGCGAGTGGTTGCTAGAGGCTGTTGCTAGTTGTGAGGTGAAATCGGCTACAGAGAGGTATACAGTGTGTAACATATTGCCAACACCTGAAAACTGTTCAAAAAGTGGTACTGAAACTGTGATGAGTCCAATGTAAACACAAATGGATAGTCTTGGTCTTCAGAGTAAAAGTTGTGGTTTTTGGAAGATGTTGGTGTAAACGGTAAGGCACAACTTTTACTTTGAAGGGGACCACTCCCAGCGTCCAGGATGTAGTCCACTTTTTCTTTCTCAGATTCTTGGTGGTCAATTAGTGTTTTCATCTCCGTGTCTTCCATGAAAACTAAGGGCGACAATTTGCTAGCGATGAAAGCAATCACAAAAAAGGCAACAACATTGAGGAATCACTCACCAACTGGTCAGGGAATACACAGTTCGGTGACTAGTCTCTAGGCCTATAAGTGACAACTGAAAAGCATTCTCCAATCAACTTTTAATAAATGTTATGTTTACAGCAGGTACTTAGTGTGAATTGCATGTAGTGTACAGAAGCATACAATAAGAGACAGAGCAGGTTTGTGCATTAATGGTTTTCAGCATGTGAGTTTTGCAAATGAATTATTATAAAAATCAGACTTTCACATGGGTTACATTTTCTGAACATTTTTCTAATTAATATTGATGTGATTTATGGGTTCATAATGTAACTTTGATGTTGTGTGCAAAAAATAAACAATCTAAAAATCAGAAAAATAGAGGCTACTGCCTTAAGACATCATGTCCGCAACAGTATACATTTGAGTTCCTCCAAAACTCTAAAAAACAAACATACGAAATAAAAAACGAAACAAACTGTTGTTTGTCTGAGACTCCACTGATGTGCTACAGGCTTGAAAACGCCTGTAACACAGCAGTGTGAAGATGTCACCAGAAGTGGATTTAAGTGTCTCCAACTACAAATAGGCTGCTTTTAATCACGATCGTGCTTCAGCGCAATTGAGTTAATTAAACTGAGGCCCTCTGCGCAGAGGTAAGTGTTTGCTAATGTTAACTGGTTTGACTTCACGAAGAATTTGATGAAAAGGATAAGGGCTGATTTCAATGATACTACGATTGTTCAGCCTGGAGTACTTAGGTAAGTATTGCTTGAAGGCTATGATTCAGAACTTAAATGGGGCATCCCTGAATACCCCAATCATTACAAGGCCCCATGATTGACTAGTATAGTTTTTGCATTACTGGATCATGGATTAAAGGAATACTCCACTGTTTTTTGTAACCTCATCTATCTATCTTTACATTATAAACAGTGCAAAAAGTAGCTACTGTATATGTGCTTTGCATTGTCACAGTCAGACTTTTTCAGGAAAGCAAAAATGCTTTCAAGATTTCAGTGGAAATGCTGGCAAACTGAAGGTAACCAGCGGCACATTAGAGGTTAATCATGAATACTGACAGCCGTGTTTAATGTAGCAGAGGTGAGAAAGAGGAATATTTTCACTTGCAAGCCTTCTCATCATGTGCGAAAATGTGTGAAAACAGAAATACAGTGCATTGACCACAAATAATTTTGAAATTGGGTTTAATTTAGTCGAACAGTGGTTTTCAGTGGCCTCCAATCTGGTTTTGAGGCATTTCCACATAATAATAGAAAATACAATATTGTTACAGTATTATGAAATCATATATACTGGAGCTTTAAATTCTCTTTACTAAAGCAACTAGCAATGGAGAAAAAGTTTAAAGAACTTTAAAGGCCTTTTTCTCAACCAAAGTTTGATTTTAAAAACACTAACATGTAGATAATATTTAATATCTACATTAAAATAAAATTAAAAAAAACAGTGGAGCATTCCTTTAATTAAGGGCAGGCAAATGAAATCTGTGATATGCAGCCACTGATAACAAATGGCACAGTAAATGAATGATTTACGTATAAAAAGAAGAGAAAAAGTGCCAGTGACAACCAGCTATGGCATATTTGTATTTAGGAAAAACACTAGGACCACATAAAACAATTGTCTTTTTAAAAAAGCTAATAGGACAAACCTTAAAGATACCAGCTGGCAACAAGACAAGGGGCCCACCCTTCATCATGTACCAATAAGCAAAAAGGCAATACAGGATGAAGAGCCTTAAGGGGAGGAGTGAGTGTGCTGGGCCAGTGTTTGATTTAATCTGGAATAAATTGTAGAAAGAGGGCTTATTTTAATACTAGTTACACATTGGTGGAGATCTTGTACTTAGGAGACATGTTATTATGGAACCAGATGAAACTAAAAATGACGCCCATGGTTTTGGGTATACGCTCGTCGTAGGCAAACGTCATGGCCTCGTGCAGCGGGACTTTGACCACCTCGATAAGCTCTCCCTCCTTTGGCTCACCTCCACCTGGGCTGACGCAGTTGTCATCGGACACCTCAGCGTAAAACATGGTCTGCTTGGCACCGGTTACACCGACACCCGACCTGGAGGAGAGACAAAAAATAAAAAATCTAAAAGGACATCTTCTTTCATTTTTAAACAGGGCTGAGTGTCTTGTGCTGGTGCTTCAGTATCAACACAACACTCTTAGAGACCAAAACAAAGAACTCAACAAAGTCACATATGAATTCTGTAAATCTGTTTTTCACTCTTTATAATAAAAAAAAACCCCATATGGTGTAAAAACAATAAATTCTTTAGCATTTCAATAAAATATTAAATCTCTGCCGCAGGCGACAGTGCCCTCAGGTTGCCTGCTATTAGCAGAGTGCTTCAGTATACTGAGTACTTCTGTCAGAAACACCCTCATAGGTGTTATGAGGGTTAAGATGATCCCCGTCTGTATAATGGAAGCAGCCTACACACAACAATGGTCGTAGACAACACCAACAGAGCTGGAGGTGGTGTGTAAGCTATATCAAAAGCGTCCTTATGAGAGTCATCACTCAAAGCTGTCCAGCTGCTGCTGTCTAATGTGGGACTGTTCGTCTCCTGGGTCTTTTCACTGCCGCTTCAAGCTCTACTCAGCTAATAATACATGGACAAAGATGGATGACTTGCCTAATGCTTATTTCCAGGTCACTTATATAAATTGTGCACTTTTAGTTTATAATTTCAGAACTTCCTCCAACCCCCGCGCCCCCCCAAAAAAACAAACCATACAAAAAACCCTGCACTGTCACAAAGACTGTTAAGTAATGTTCTTATAAATCTCTCTACTTGACCACTCAAAGCGCTTTATTCAACATGCATCATTCACCCATTCATAAGAGCAATTTTTCTATGCCTTTTTAACATTCACACACATTCACAATCCAATGGAAGCATCAGATTGTGCATCCACTGGATTGTGAATCAATTGGAGAGCAACTTGGGGTTGGTATCCTGCCCAAAGATATTTGGGCATGCAGACTGGAGCAATCAGGGATCAAACCACCAACCTTCTGATCAGTAGGTGCTCTTCTGAGTTACTGCCAAACAGCGTTAATGCACTATTAAACCACTGTAAGGGTAATTGTCAGGCACTTTTTTCATTTTTACAGACTAAACTAGTGAAAGAGCACCAAATCACAGCAAGAAACATTCATATATAGAGCAAAGAATGATCCGACCTAAAGCCAGACTGATATATGATTTTAAGACCCATATCGATACCGATATTTAGTGATTTGAAAAAAAATACGATATAGCCTTAACACATGATGCATAAACGGATTGGTTATGTGTATTTATGAGTCTAAAATATTATGATAATGCAGTTTAAAAATAATCTTGTTTTAGTGTCATAACTAGTGATGGACTAATCGTTGACGCTCTGCCCAACTCTCGGATGAGATAGTTGTTGCGTTTCCAAACAAGTATTGCCAACAGGAATGTTGTAGAGTGCCCTCTGGTGGATAATCTATGTAACATCAACACCACTAGCATGGCTGTGAAGGGTGTTCCTCCTTTCTCGTCTTTACGTTGTTACATTTTTATTTATTGTCCGTTATAAAAGCAGATACAGATATGTCAGCTAATATTGGCTGATATATTAGCCCTGTCTACATATCAGCTGGGATATAATCTAACCTATCATGTTCCCGCAGCTAGTGAAAAAATAAGTGGAAAAATGTTCATTTAGATGAGGTTAATAAACAATCATATACCAATCCAACAATGACAGCTTTTATAGACTAAGCTCATTTTCAATGGCTGTACCTATTAGCTGAAAGAGTAAAATGGCAAACAGTTATAATATTTGCCTGGTTATTTAAGTCTTTAAAAAAAGTCTTCTTACTTTATTTTCCAAGTGAATTTTGAGAACTCACTTTACTCCCAGTGCTCAGGATAAGGGGAGCACTGGTTTTGCTATTCACTGGCAGATCATCACACAGGAAAATTGCACACATGATTTGACTAATATGCACTTTCAGTCTGGCACCTTTTAAAATCCATCCATAAAGCTTTCCAAAGCCTTTCCAACAGACAGGAGTTTTTGTGTGTGTGCTCCAATAATCTACAGTATATATCATTTAAAAGTTTGAAACACTGCAAATGTAGGTTATTTCCTAGTAAATGCTGCACGAGGAAGTTCAGAATGTATAATTAAAGGAAATTATAACAAAATAGGACAATAGGAAATTAATTGTTAAGGGACAAGAAATCCAGTGGGAGTGACTAAAGTAGATAAGATACACAAGATAATGAAAAACATTGCACTGAGACTTTCCTGTGATTTGAGTTGATACTTGACAAAAGACCTTGACCTTGACCGAGTGCTCCTAACACAAACCATCAGCTGTAAATTATTTTTGAATTATGCGCAATAAACCCAAAAAACTAACCTGTAAGAAGTAATCTTCTTCAGCTTGGAAGCTGGCACATCGTAGCCACATTCTTCCAGCACCTCCTGGCGGGCGATCTCCTCCAGAGAGAGGTTAGGTTTGTCCACCAGGCCAGCGCAGAGCTCATAGGTGACCCCCGCAGAGGCAGGCAGCCACTGAGAAGAGCTCTCCCCTTCTGAGGCTGACTGGCCCTCCTGAGACTCCGTCGCGGCTTCTGCAGCACCCTCCTCGGTTTTTTCAGCAGACTTTGGTGGCTGCGTCTTGGCTTTTTCCCATTCACACATGTATACAGCTGATGGTGGGAGAAATGGAAGAAAATGCCAATACACTCGGGTAAAAAAAGCTCATTTTAACTGCAATGGCTACTTTTCAATCTTTAAACATTTATTATCTGATAAATTCTAACGTGAGCTCAATGTTTAAAATAAAATCTCATTTTGCACTGCAGATAAATACTTAAAAAAAAATGGCAAAACAAACGGACAAAACAAATAAATCAGTGCCCAGGTGTCCTTGAATTTAATAAACGCCAATGTGGAAAAGTCTGGTGACTACTAACAAAGGAGGCTAGGCTGCATCGTAATGGGACCTCCTGCAGTCTATTTATGAGTCTGTATTGTTGCTTCCATTCATTTGAATAAGAAGTATGCACAGGATGCCCATAGGATGTATACCAAACTTAATCTAGATTGGTGAACATAATGAAATCGAATAAACTGTACTGCAGTGTTTTTGGTGTGCCACTTTGTGAACACAGAAAAAGAAAACTTACCTGGACGGAACTGTTTGACGAGGACAAAACAGTGTGAGGTGGTGTTGAAGATCAGCACAGATACACTGCAGACATTGGGGTGTGGGAGAAAGGCAGAGTTAAACAAATGTTATTCTCAAAGAACATGTTTTCTACCTGCCAAAATGACACATCACTGGTGCAGTGACGTCAAGTTCAAGAGAGCAATAAGTCAGTGGTGAACCATTTTTTAAATCCCTTGTGATGGAATCACCAGTCTAAAACATGCACAAGTCAAAGAACCCTGGATTCATGTATAAAGGTGGTCAAGCGTCGGGTCCAAACGCTGGTTTTTGCCAGTTGACAACCAAAAGAAAGATCACAACTGCTAGATTTTTTTTAACCTGGCTCATACAGCATGGCACAGGAGCTCAGAGATACTTAGACTTCCTGAAAACAAAAGACCGCCTGGTAAAAACTACTACTCTACCAAATTTCTTTACCTGGCACATTCTAAAAAAACAGTATAAAGCCACCATAAATAGTGACATCACAGCTGTTGCACGACACAAGCAATGTCGTGACTTTAAACTTAATGCAAGATGCTACTTCGGGGGGGGGGG